CAGCACAGTTACAGTGTTTTGTTTGTTTATTGTTGCTACAGATAGAGTGACTGAAATAAGAAAAGGAAACAGAGAGAAATATCCCATCTCATGAGTGGAGGCAAGTACACAAGGAAAGAGAGTGGGGTAAGGTAGTACATTTTATCATTCCTTTATTGTGGGCCTTAAGATGCTGCTGTAAGTTAAATGAGGCAAGCGTCACGAAGAGAAGCGACCGTGACTGTAGAACAAACCATCCTGTGATAAATGGGAGGGTGGAGGTGACATTAAGATGACCTAAACAGAATTTGTCTTTTTTTCCTATTCTCCACTGCTTCTCCTTTCTGGCCCAGAAAAGTATAACAAACCACTGTCTTGGCTGCACCTGATGTATCAATCAGTTTGGTAAGAAACTTTAAGATGTTTGCCCTCATACGGAGCAACGTTTCTCCAGTATGTCAAATCCGTGCTGAAGCTCCCCCCTACAGATACTGTGAGAGGCTCAGCAATTAAGTCAAAAAGCCCTTTCAAACACTTTAAAAAAAAAAAATCCTTTAAAATATTTTCTTTACCAGGCAGTTTATATGGGCTTCACTTTCTTTTATGGATGTAAATGATATAGTATTTCTGATTCACAAAGAAAATAGTAAATAAATAATTTCTACATAAACACGCTTTCCATACTGCACCTTTTACTTTGGTGCTTGAGTCTGAGTGGCTAAAATACTTAACAAAATGTTCTGGTTGCTGATGTGCTGTTACATTTCCAGTCAGTTGTAAAATAAATCCAATGGTTTTTTTAATTCTATTTTGTTTTGTTTTGTTTTTATGTTTCTCGCTCTATTCATGAAATGAACTGTAGTCTGAGGAGGTAGTTTTGGAAACAATCGTCTTGTTCAGACAGTTTCCTTACAGAAACTTTGCCAAAGTAGATTTTGTTTGTACTCTGCACAGTTTTGATGCCTGAACTTAATTATGAACTTAGAAGCAGCTGATCCAGTTTAGAAATCATGACTGTGTGGAGTGTCATTAAATGTTAGGCGTTCCAGTGCTCGGGACAGATTTTGTCTCCAGAGCTCGTAAAAACAACTGTTGTGAAGATTACCTCATTTCAGAGGTAGCAATTCAGTGCTGTTGATGATGTTATTCTCTCAGCACAAATACAGTTCAGGGAAAAAAAGAAAGAAAATAGCTTCCATGATAATTTGGCTGAAAAGAAAAATAGCTATTACTGTGTAAAAAAATAACCCTTAAAAAATATTACATCATATAATGGACATGCTCCTCCTAGACATGTGTATCCCTCACAAGTTTGTCTTAAAAGAGTTTGGAGGTAGGATTCAAGACTGTCTGGTGAATACACCTTTTTTGACTTTCCACATGAACACATGCAGTAGAAATAAAATCATAGACCTTGTCTACATATCTGTCCAGCATTCAACTTCCAGTTTTCTGAATTTTAAACAAACAGTGGAAGTCAAAAGGTAGCATTTGCTGGAAACATTACAGTTATGGAACTACTGTCGGAAGTTCCGTGAAACAAAGATTCAGAGCCAACAAATTAATCTGTAAGGTAGTAGATGGCTAGCCTTGTCTTTGAAGTAGTAAGCTCATGATAAAGTCATTATTTGGGGATGCTTTGTTATCTTTTTCCTGGAACTGATGGATGATTCTAAGGTCACTGAAAACTTCGCAAGGTCAAACTGCAGATGAGGTAACAAACTAGAACTGAAAACTGGAAGATAACTGCAGTTGAGCAGCGGGGTTGCTATAATTGATTCACTTTTAGTCCTTATTTAGTCTTTACCAAACAGGTAACAGATCACAGTGCACATTTTAAGTGTGCAAATAAGTTTATGTTGACATTGTAACATGAAGAGATGAAGAGTTACCTGACACACAAAAAAAAATAAATTGCTGGCATGATGGGGAAAAGAATAATATAATTTGGCTTCCACTAATACCTGTAGCTAAATATTACTAGTAAAGAAAATAGTACAGTAGCGTTACCTGAATTTGAAAGTGGAATTCGATGATAAAAGGGAAAGCAAATGGGATGTAATCAGAGTGGTACTGAGAAACTGAATTAGTGCCTGCTGATATAATGCTGTCAGACTGCTGCATATGTGTAAGGTGATTTATTTTAGTATTTCCATCTACCTTTGGTAAGATGGTTATCTGTCATCCAGTTGCATTTTCCTAATAGCAAGGTTTGTTCTACTCTTCTGAGGAACACATTTCTTTAAAGTTGTCAGTTATGTTTTTGTTTGTTTCAAAGGTATGAATTTGCAACAGCAGTTGCTTGTGTCACTGAAACTACACCTACATCAGATGGGCAAGGATGTGGCTCATTTGAGAATGCTGCATGTGAGACCAAAAGCAAATTTAGTTAACATCCTCTCTTTTTACACTCACTGTTCACTATTTTCATCTGATGGCCAGTCATTCTCTGCTATCTGCAAACCTCTCAGGTAGCCAGAACTAGATTTGTATACTCAGTCACATCTCCCAGGTTGAAAAGTTCTGATCTGCTGTGTTGTTTGCATAGTCCACATTCTTGTTATCTTTTTTCTTTGTCAAAGGTTCTGTGTCAACACTCCTGAAAAGTAATGCATTGAAAACAATGCTCTCATTTTCTCAACATCTTCTCCAACCAAAAATCATTATGTTCTGGCATACTGCTTGTTTGTTGTCCAGGATGCTTTTTTACAGCCCAGTGTAAGCTGGTTGGCTGCCAGCTGGTGAGGTGCAGGGCAGGATCACAGAGTTCCACAGAAAAGAAATGAGTGTCTTGAGGAGGATAGGCTAATACTGAGAATAGGGTATCAGCTTCACATACAGATCTTCAAAAGCTCTGTCTCTTTGAAAACATGATAACTTCAGTGTGGGTTACCAGTAGCATGTAGTCCCTCCTGTTGATGCAAATCTTTCTGACTCAAAACTTCTTAATGTAGGAAGACTAATCTTGTTTACAACTGAGACTGCCTTCTGTTTATGTCTTTGAGACCTACAGATATTAGATCCTCGTTCCTATCCTGCAACAATCTAAACACCTGCTCTTGCTGGATGACTGTGCCTCCAAGTATGTACTAATCTTGCCAGATGGATATAGTCCACTGTTGGGCAGACAGGGCAGACAGAGAAACTGTGTAGGGCAAAGTAACAGGCAGCATGGCCTCACAGAATTTTAAGAATCAGTAAGGAAGAACCTGCAGAATGTTTCTGTTAGATTGTTAATTTACATTATGAGTCCTTAGTTGGTGACATCATCTGTGTAATGCAAATAGCTCTTCAGTGTAATGTGTTCGTTAGGGAGCACTGCTCAGTGTGGAGATGTGAGATAACTACCTAGCTACTGAACCATTTTCAAAATGGAGGCAGATAGAACACTCAGCACATCCCTCTAGATTCCAGTAAACAATAGTGGAGTTCTGAGCACTTCAGCAATACTGGTTTGTGTGAGAGAAAAACAACAGCATGGATGCACACAGAAGTGTCTTAAAAGGTAAGAAGTGCTCAGGACTCAGACAGTGAGGGCAGAAACATCAGATGTTGTGACTGAACTCAACTGAGAATAAGAACTGGCAAGGAAGAAGTTGAGGCTCAATGTATAATAATTTGGCTAGCATTGGAAGTATGTCATTGTAATTGATCTGCTAAGTGATCTTGGATGTTCTTCTGCTTAAATGAGCTACAAGCCTACGACGTTGAAACTGGACCATACATAATCTTATGATCTCTATGACCTTTAGAATGTCTATGTGGCAATTCCATTTGCTGGGGAGGGAATATATTGGAGATGATGAACGAGTGAAGTGTCAAAAAGCTGAATTTTCATTTGTCATATTGGGATTTACAAATTAATCTAGTTATTGTAATTATGTATATTAGAAGTTACTGTCTCCCTGTGTAAATTTTATTAATAGATCCACTCCCTAGTTTGTAAATGGAATTTCTGAAAAAGCAAAAGATCTTCCATTCTAATGTGATGGCTCATTTGGAATCATTGCTAGACTTACAATTTATAATACTCCAGCTTTGTTTGACAGTTTATTCTACGAAGAGGAATATCTGACAAGCTTATAATCATCTGGCCTTATCTACACCACCAACAGTAGTACAGGTCAAGAACCTTGGATGCTGCTTTTGCCTTTTCTCTGGGAAAAGTATCACAGTTTTAGTTAGAGATAATTCTGAAGCATATTGTGGCCAAACTCCTTGCGCTATGTAAAAAAATCCTGGCATAGCAACGCAAGCAATGGCTGACTCCCTGAGCACACATACTATTTATGCAAAAAAAAAAAGCTTAAACAAAACAGGTCATAACAAACTCTTATTTCTTTCCTAATGGTTTAACTGTGTAGGAACAGATACATTGACATTGTTAATTACAGCAATGATGCTTTTGAAAATTAGTAATTTAAGTTTTTCTGAATATCAGTGTAAAAGAAATGTCAAAATAGTGAGATACACACCAGATAGGAATCTACACTAAGTCAGTTGTATCAAAATCATAGACACAGGCACAGTAGACTGTAGAAATATGTTTTCAATGTTGTAACAAATAAGACCAAAACAACCATACATAACACATGTTTTAATGTGCCATTAACTGACTTTTCTGACTGATAGAAAGGACTTCTCTATTAGAGTGGGAAAGTCTGAGAAAAACAGGAGACATCACAAGACTGTCATATTGTCCTGACAGGGAAGTTGAAATGAATTAGGTTAGTCTGGCATACAGCGTTCAAATCAGAATAAATGTGCTCTGCAGAAATGATATGAAATATTCTTTGCATTTGAAATCACTTCTCACTTAAATTCTTAGAAACATCGTGGTTCAAAGCCTTTGGTTTATTTTGGAGCTTTGTATTACATTATTTTGCCCCACAACCAGTCCTATTTTCATGCTGCATGTAAAAGAAAGTAACTAAATGCAGTGTTCTTCATGTTCTTAATCCAACTGTTGTTTAAACCAACACAATTGAGAACATTATGATCTTTTAGTAAAGTTTCAGATTTTTATTTAAAAGTCTTTTGAAACACAAAAGGATTTCCTCTGTTTCCAGTTGCACTGACTCATTCTTCTTATTTAGTTAGCTATAAATAGTCTTCATATGAGCTTTGATGTGCTTCTTTCTTCAGTCAGATGTTTGTACAGACATTCTTGACAGTTCCTTTTAATTCCTTTCTTAATTTTTTAATTATGTATTTGGAAAGGCTAGTAATTTTTAGTTACTAGGCGGAACTGGTTTCTTCCTCATCTTCTTCAGAGTCAGTGTCATCATTGTAGAAGTGAATTGTCGCTTGTACTGGAAAGTTAGCCAGAACCTTCTCTCCAATGTTATTAAGAAACTTTTGGCATTTGGATTTAGGCAAATAAAGTCTGATAAGAAAGCACATTGAAAGAGAAAAATTAAAATCATGAGACAGCTTACCTAGCTTGGCTAGGTAAAATCTATTTTTTTTCTTTCTCTGAAGGCAGAAAAATCCTGGGGCTCCTTCTCCTTTAAAATAAGAGTTGCTGACTAAAATGTACTATTAACATCAAATTACCTCAGTTGCTTTGTGCATATTTTGAAATATATTTATCTAAGCTCCCTCCATGATGAAGTGTTGACAGGGCGGTGATGTGTGCTTGAGATTTTTTGTTTTGTTTTAGCACAGTACATGGACGTGTCCTGTGGGACTGCAAGAAGGTTGAAGAACGTTGTGTGATTCTGGAATTAAGATTAAGACACCACATTAAGATTGGGGTGGGTTGCCTCCTGCACAGAGGTTGATCTTAGTTTTTTTTTAGTGTCTTCAGCTGGAAGAGATTTATTTCAGAATTACTTTTTTTTTTTTTTAATCTTGAATGAGTATTAATTTACACTTCAGGTTTTCACCTGTTTTTCCACTAAAGCAAAATTTTGTTTGGTCTTTTTACATATGTTCATGAGTTTTGCATGCATATGTGTACACATCTATTTCTTCGTTCCACTTATGCCAGTTTTCAACTAACTTAAAATTTGCTTGTAATAAAGAGGGATTTTCCATTAATTTTCCTCCTGTAATTACAAGTTCACATCAGGAATTTCTGTATCATTAAACCATACAGAATTTAAATGGGAGTGGAAAGACTTGTAATTCCTCCAAGAATAGGAAATAGAGGAAAAGATTACCTGGAATTCAATTTTTATTAAAGAACAAATTTCAGCAGACTCAAGACAAATATGTGTAACAAATCACATGGCATTAGTATCTGTTCATGTTCACTATCTGGCATTTGTAAATTTGGAATAACATGTAAGATATTATATATTATTATTGTATTATTGTATATTATATGGAGATACAAATTAGATTAATTAGGATGTTTTTTTAAGGTGACTTTTTTCTCATTTTCATTACTGGAGCATTCTTTCATGTTCTGTTCAGCCTGGGCATTTTTCCTTGTGGAAAGTTTTGGTGAGTTGTTAAAATGCACCGTGACAAAAAGACACTCCAGAGACAAAGTAATACTTTTCCCTAGAAGAAATATTTTCTTTCAGCATGTTTTCTTCCCTGAATTGAGTGATGGTATTTAACTCACCTCACTGGATGTTGAAACCCCAGGGCTCCTTTTGATCTAAAATTTGTTAGCTGACCATCTGGTTGTGACTGTGAAGAGACACGCTTATGATATAGAATAGGTTAAAAATGAAGATTTCACTCTTTTCTTCTACAAACAACTGTAAAATTATGTGACTATGTTCCTTTCTTTGATATTCTGAGTTTTTTTATTCCGTTGTCCAGGTATTATTTGTGCCTGTACGCTGCCCATAGCTGTGCATTTAACAAACAGTTTCAACTTGTATATTGTATGAACCATAAAGCTATGAAGTATTGTACATTCTGCTTAAGGTTGTATAGAATATCTGTTTTTAGATTGGTGGTCTAGTAATGCCACCAAATAGAACTTCAGTGATTGAAAGGATTTTCAGTCAGTTTAAGAGACTGGGGGGTTTAAGGTGTTATAAAGTACACCTGTATCTATACTAGCCAGCAGATTGCAGATGGAATGTTCAAGTCTAAGCAAGCTCAGTTGTAATCAGAGATCCCATGAGTGCATTAAGAGTCCAAACAATTAAGTCAAGAGACAACTGGTATCTGGCATTTCTATTTACTGATTTTAAAAGCAAGCATTTTTGATAGAACAAACTAGGCAGCAAAAATGAATTTTAAATTTCAATACAAAATTTGGCAAATACTAATTTCTTTCAAAATAAGTTCACAATAATAGTAAGAGCCTGCAAATGTTAACATTACCAAATCCTATTAAGACTGCAAACCTGAAAGCATCTCCCAAAGTCACTGATTCCTATAACTTGGTCTTGTGAACATGCGTTCTCTACTATATCTTAGATAAGACATCTATTACTGTTAGCATAAACTTAACTTTGCATAAATAGTAAAATTTTATCCTGTTGTGGTAGAACTGCTAGTGAAAAGAAGGAAAAACAAAGATGACTTATGCCACTGTCAGAACAATTCATTCGTTTTTCTGAGGAAGTAGGTTTCCAAATGAATATTTTGATGGGCTCCAAAAAACCCTTTGGTTACAGATCATGCAAGGGATCGTAAAGAATTCCCTCTGTACCTTTCATGTCGCCCTTTTCTCCCATGTCTGCCTGTCTTGTAGCCAACATGTTTTCCTCTCAAGCCTGTTAGGCTGATGTTGGTTTTTAAGCAGAGGCTCATTTACTTTTTTTCCACAGCACCTGATAAAATGGACTCCTGATCTGGCTGAAAATTGTAGTGTCATCATAATATCTATGTTAAATAATAAACACCACATGCAATTTTTCTCCTTTCATACCTATGTTAAAATTAAAATAGTCTTTTTACCTTTATTGACCCGTTTTTCTGCCATTTTCTGTTCAGAACACATATTTTTAAAAATAATATATGCATTAATTGATATTTACTAAATACATTGTAAGCATATACTTTTCAGGTTGAAATACATCATCCTATAGCGCCAATTAATCGCAAATCTGATTCAGTCAGAAACCTCAGTAATTTGCTGAAGAAGATGCCTGTTGTTTTCCACAGCTGTGGGATGTACCTATGCATTACTGAGCATCTCCTGTGATAATAGGACAACTCTCATCCTTAGCAAATTTACAGATGCTTCTGGGAATGATGTTGTTCCACAGGTTTTCCCCACGGTGCCTGCCAGGAGCATGGCACTCCAGCAGATCTGTACGGCTATAGCCTCCACCTTCAGGAGACAAAAAGTACACGATAAAAAAGGCATTACATGTATTAGAATGTGTTAGAAACTGTGAACATTTTAAGATTTATGCCAAGGAAAGTTGTTGTCCTAACCTGCTGATCCTTTGGGAAAAAAAAAAGTTGAAGATGTAGCTGTGAATCTGATGCTGCAAAAACTCATTAGTGTGCTCAAAACTAAGCACTAAAGCACCATTTCAATACTTTTTTTTTTTTTTTAAGTTTGCAGTATTGGGACCTATGTTGAATGTGCTTATATTTCTCTTCAGTTTTATCTTCTTAACTAATAAATCTTCCTAAATGAATAAGTAAATGTAGTTATTAATTGGTGGGCCTTTCGGAGTTGGAGTTTGCCAATAAGAGCTTTTAAATTGATTTTTCTGTTGATTTTCTATCTGCTTTAGCTATAGCAACATCCCCCTCAAAAGAAAAAATCAATCAATACAACTGTGCACCTGAAGATATATTTTTTAAATTTCACCTCAAAATCATTTTCACTCAAAATTTTTTCTCCCCTGTACAAAATCTCACATATGAATTAAGTGTGGAAATTTCAAACAGAGAATATTCTTATTTTTGTAAAGAAATAAAAACTGATGTTAAACTGTCTTAGTAAGCAGTGTTTTCTGCAGCTAATGATTCTAAATGTGGTACAAAATTAGAGATACTTTTACACATTGCCATGCGTGGAGCATCATAATTGGAAACATTTGTCAGTGCTGAAGAAAGTACTTTGAAATTGAAAAAGGAAATGATTAAAAGACCGAGCCTCGCTTGCTGTGTTCAGATAGCTTTCATTTCTGCACCTGTTTTCGATAAGGATTATTTTCTCCAGAATTTAATCTCACCATTTGTTGATTCTCTGTCATTTCACCATCCCTGGCTGTGGGCATCCAGGGCCTCCATAAAACGGGGCTGCTGAAAGATTAAGATAAAATAGCGTTCCCACAATTAATTCTCTGTGGTAATATCCATAGAGTACCCATAAAATAGTTCTTTTGTTAGTGTCTGCTGAAGTCTTTTGAAAAAAAAAAAAAAGCAACATGACTTTTTTTTTTCCTCAACACGTTTTGATCACAAAATAGATATATCCCAAGTTGCAAAAGACTTGTTTTGATATGATGAGTCTGATTTCTATGGCAATATTGGTCTGTCTCCTGTATATGATCTCATTAAACAAACCAGATAATCACTTGTACATTTATAACTATGGTAATATTTCCTACTAAAATTTCACAGAAGTATTTTCTGTTTATGTACCACTGCTGCAAAATGAAAAGTAACTCTTCATCTTTGGCGCTATGTCTAATTAGTGGTTACTTATGATCACTGAGTGCCTGATGATTTATTGATTAGACATCGTTAAAGTATCATGAGAGATTGGATCTAATTACCATTTTTTTTAATAGGGGAAATTGAAAAGTTATATCAGATGCAAAAGCTAAATAAGTTTAAAAAAAAAAAAAAAAAGAACAGTTATTGCAAGCTTATTATTCATTTGCTTTTGTTTAGAAATATATTCTGAAATATTTGACTGAAAAGGATAAAATATCAGAAAAACAAAATATCAGTCCCAAATTAAAAGTTAAAAAAAAGTTTAAAAAGTTAAAAAAAGTTAAACTTTTTTTGCCTGCTGTTTCTAAAGTTAAAAATTGTGTTTCATTTTCTGCACAAATGTAGAATTACTGCATTCAAATGGTACTTACAGTCTGAGCTTCTTAGCAGTCTTTAAAGTGACCATATTCATGTTCTTTCTGGTGGAATCCATTTACTGATATCTATGATATAGCTGGCAGTCTATTTTAAAGGGAATAGCTACGCTTAGAGACTTCTCTCCTTAAAGTGGTTTCCTTTTTTAAGGAAATCCTATTTTTTTCAGTAATTCTGGAGTTTGGAAGGAGTCAGGAGTCTGCCTGTCTCTGTCTTACCTCTCTGGCTGCTCTCTTGGATTGAGTGAGTGTTGCTGGGCATCTCTGGAGCACTGACAGATGTGATCCACTGTAGCCTGGAGCAAGAAATCTACAGCTGCACCCTCCATGGTTTTTGATGATCTAAAGCCTGCTGTTTCTGTGGCAGACTGGCTGCTTGTCTTGGCCTCTCAGCCCCTCCTTTATCTTAACTCCCAAAGCATACTTACCTAAAACAAACATGGCCTCAGGTAAAAGGAAAGAAACATCCTTAATGAGTGTTCTTTTGACTCCTCCAGATAGTTCAAAGATGTTGTTCTCATGTGGTCAGACTCCTGGTGAGAGCAATTATAGAGAAACAGACTATTAAACTTAAGATAGCAAATCACATTGAATATTGTGTCCTTTATCTTTCTGTTGCCATTTTATACTCCTTGTATGACTTGGGAAAATGCATCAGAATCCAGTCTTAAAGAAGTGTAATGGAGACTTGAAGAGAATTTTAATCACAGAGTGAACGTTACAGTGAATGAAATCTTTTCCATCTTTTAACTATAAAACACAAAAAGATACCAAAAATCAGTGATGATGAGAGGACAGGCCTAGTGCCTGCCTCAGACTCTGGGGATAGTTCTTTAATTTGTTTGCTATTTGATGGAAGGAGAAGAAATTTTATGCCAAGAAAGGTTACTTCATCTATCAAGAAATAAGGGTTATGAATACCATTTCTTTGAGGCAAGTTTTATTTCACAATATGCAATATGCTTTAAATCTACAAAGGCTGAGCACAAACTGTCTTAGTCCAAGCTTTCTTCCCAGTGTTTTCATTTGTATTGAAAATTACTAGTTACCCATTGTATTGTACAAGAGCAATTTATTACTTGATATGTAAAATTATCTGTTCTCATTGTTAAGGTTCATTGCAACAGTTCATTTGTTTTCTTTATTTTGCAACTACTGCAGAGATGCAAGTGGATTGTAAGAACCTTTTGCTGAATTATTTTTCCTGTGGTGCTGCTTACACATTGGCAACAAAAAGAACAGATTGATCTACCAAGTATAATTGCTTTATGCTGTCAACTTTCTTCCCAGACTGAGAAAAATGATTTTGTTTACTGAACATGGAATATCCATTGATTATTTGATACAAATTAGGTCCCTTCTAGCTGACTGAGCTGGAGAAGCCATCAAAATGGTCATTTTGTGTGGACACTTAAAATTCTTTGTAGGAGACAGGTTCTTATTACATAAGCCTTCATGGCCCTTTCTCAAGCTCTGATACATCTGAGAGTAGCAATGTTCAGTCAATGTGAAAGGGCAGGACTCACAAATGAGGACCACTGGATATGCTTTCTTGAAAGACTTCATTTTCCACTGAAATGGTTCTGTATTAGAAGGCATAACTTGGCACATGGGATTTCTGCTTCTAATTAAATATCCTTTGTCCATCAGGGAAGAGATTAAGTCATATTTGAAAGGCTAATTTTCTTACATTGATGCAAGTTGTACAGTTGTTATTAGCTACTTGACTGATAAAAATAATAGCATTGCAGTTGTACTTTTGTTTTTGAAGTAGCCTTGAGTAACATTTTCTGTAATTTGATTTATTGAACTCCAACTTTTGCATTAATTTTCTGCACTTTTGTAACAGCCATTCCTGCTGTGACTACTAGATACAGTTTAAACTCAAAGATCAAATCCCTTAAACTCCCTTGTGGAAAGCACTGAAAATATGGATTAGAAAATTCTCAGTCAACACCTACTCTGTCCTGTGTTTAAATGCTTTGTAGAATTTGTAAATCTATAACTAAGTAAAAAAAGACGCAAAGAAGAAAACATATGTATAATCTTTATAAGTTTTAACATTTATGTATCAAAATCGGTACAATTATTGGAATGAACAATGTGGTGAGTAATGTTCAAATAACAAATTGTATGTTAAACAGTAACATGGTTACTAAGAAAAAAATGGCGAACTTTGTAAGTAACCTAAATTATAACTGACTATCTTGCTAAATTACTGTATTAAATACACATATATAATTGCATCAGCTTAGTTTTGTTCAGATCAAATTTAGCTTGATAGTCAAAAAGGAAGTGTTCACTACACAACTGATGCTTACAGTCCCAATCTTGCAATCAGATCCACATGTGAGGATAATTGATTTCGAGTTCTAGACAGAAGCTGCCAACAAGGCTATTAGCGCAGAACTGGAGCCTGAGCTACTAAAATACAGCTCTCTATAATAAACAAAGTTATCAAACAAATCTGTTGGTAAAGCCCTGCAAGACCAAGTCTGCTACAAATTAAAAAAAAAAAAAAAAAAAAGCTTTTGTTAATGAAACTGTAATATAAACTAATGTAACTCTTGGTAACATTGTAGAAAAATATAAATTAATATTTTGCTGGAGATTTGCTGGACAAAAAGCTGGACATGAGCCAGCAGAGTGAGCTGCTCAGAAAGCCAACAGTATCCTGGTCTACACCAAAAGAGGGGTGGGCAGAAGGGAGAGGGAGGTGATTGACCCCCTCTGCTCATGAGGCCCCATCGGGAGTACTGCGTCTAGACTGGGACCCCCCACACAAGAAGGATGGGGAGCTGTTGGAGCAGATCCAGAGGAGGGCACAAAGATGAACAGAGGGCTGGTGCACCTCTCCTTTGAAGACAGGTTGAGGGAGCTGGGCTTGTTTTGTCTGGAGGACGCGGGGAGATCTCATTGCGGCCTTCCCAACCCTTGAAGGGAGCTTATAAACAGGAGGGAGACTGACTTTTTACATGGTCTGATAGTGGTAGGACAAGGAGGAATGGCTTTAAACTAAAAGGGGGAAATTTAAGTTAGATGTTAGGAGGAAATTCTTTCCCCAGCAGGCAGTGAGGCGCTGGCACAGCTGCCCAGAGAAGCTGTGGTGCCCCATCGCTGGAGGCGCTCAAGGCCAGGTTGGATGGGGCCCTGGGCAGCAGAGTTGGTGGGGGGCAGCCCTGCCCATGGCAGGGGTTGGGGTGGATGGGCTTTGGGCTCCCCTCCAGCTTAAGCCCTATCACTGCACTGCCTTATAAAATCTCTCTCTAGATTTCCTGTAGGCCTCCTTTAGGTACTGAAAGGAACAACTGTGTCTTGAAATATACTTAATTTCAATTCGAGGAGCTGTATTTGGCAAAGGAAAGAAAATACTGATACTGTTATTTATCTCTTTTTCCCAGAAGCAGGGATTATTTTCACACTTCTAATACTTACTGAGAGTAACTTTGGCAGATTTGATCTGATTTTAAAGGAATTTGGGACAGCATATCAAGAGAGAAATGGACCATAAGATAATTATTTTGTGTTTTTGTGGGAAACTCGTTTTACTCAGTTATTATATTTTTTTTTTAAATGAAAGCACATATGCATTTGCAAGAACAAATAATATGCAGAATGAATTGCAACAGACAGGAGTCAGGATAACTCGACAGCATTTACAGATTTATATATTAGCTGGTGTTAAACATATCATAAAAACATTTGGAGCCATTAATAGCATACAAAGCTCCTCAGAAATGAATTGAAAGTCATTCATGAAGCACATCAGAGCTATTTTCATAATACTCAATTTAAAGTGGGGGGGTGGGGGGTGGGGAAGGCTTCTTAACATTTTATGTTCCATGGCAGTGCAGGCTTCCTGTTCTGAGTCATATGGGAGAGCCTAGATGGATTTAACCCCTCCAGACTGAAGCTGGTCTTTCTGTCCCATTTGGAAGGGGTTATTTCCTCCCTATCTGCAGGCAGAAATTAGAAATTTAGCTTATTCCCTTTATTCAGAATTTACCTCATTTTCTTTGTAAACCATTTCACATCTCTGTGTGTCTGATTTCTACATCTTGCAACATCTTTCTGTGAACTGTGCTCAGTGAAAGGGTAGATAACAGCAGGACAAGGGTAAATGGTTATAAGTCAAGGAAGGGAAGATTTAGATTAGATGTCAGGGGGAAGTTCTTTACTATAAGAGCGGTGAGGTGCTGGCACAGGCTGCCCAGAGAGGTTGTGGATGCCACATCCTTGGAGGTGTTCAAGGCCAGGTTGGATGGGGCCCTGGGCAGCCTGGTTTAGTATTAAATGGGGTCCCTGCATGTGGCAGAGAAGTTGGAGATTCATGATCCTTGAGGTCCCTTCCAACCTGGGCCATTCTGCAATTCTGTGTGGAAAAAAAAGGCAAGTGTTAAGTCTGAGAGCTAATATTACGCACTGTTCCTTTTCAAGGTTTCCTTCCACTCTCCTTTATGGGGAAACTGACATGCTTATTTTAGGATATCTATTTTAGTAAATATCCTAGTATGTTCATGGCCTTGATTTCATAACAATACAAAAATGTTTCCCAATATAAAATACTTAACATTTTAACCAGAGCTTTTCATGATTAAGTCTAAGCTACACTATGATCAAAATCTGAATACCTACAGCAACTTTATGGCTTCAAATTATTCTCACTGAGAATATTCCAACATTTCACTGTCTTAAAATAGTGACTGCATGTATATTTCTCTGCTTTAGGTTCCCTTGCATAACAAAATTTTTACTCAATTTTCTCATGCACTCATGAACTTTTCCTGAGCAAAGGATCCCAAACAAACAGAGAAATAAATAAAAATCTAGTTGATCATATTCAGTGCTGTCATTGAATACAGCGGGATTAAATGAAGTATGTTGCTCATCGTGCAAAGGTTATATAAACAGTTGTGTTTTGCAGTGTGCTCTGAAGGTCAGCAATGTGGGTACTAGAGAACTATTACAGAGAAAGTGAATTCCAAGGCTAAGAGCTTTCTTTTGAGGCTGTGTATACTTTGCTTGTTTTCCTTCTTTTGATGTGCCTGTCTAAGTATTTTGACTTCCCCTGTGAGATAAAGCCACATAAAGAAACAGTGTATAATGGGAAATTGTGACTACTAGAGACTTTCTTGCCCTGTCTATGGAATATATACAGGGAATATAGCAGCAGAGCCACCACACTGATACTTTTTCGGCTTGAAATGAAAGGA